CATTATAATGTCCCCACGACTGAAAGGGCGAGCATGTTTGGTGTGACGGGGATTCGAACCCGCGACCCTCAGAATGCGAGATGAGCTCCCTAACCACCTGGCCATGCCGGGCCGGGTAAGTTAAGAGTATAGCGAGCATGCATACAAACCTCTTTGAAACTTGCCAACTTAAATAACTTTCAAAAAAATGCTAGGTAACAACAAACCTGATGTTGCTTTAAACACATAGAATACGCGCAGCACAAATACGCCGTTGTGCAACCGTGTTTTAACAGCAAACAAAACAATCAAGAAAGATGTTTTATGCAGATTTTATTTAATGAAAACCTTAATCGCTTCAAATCGTGGGTAAGAACTTTCTGAGCCACTGCAGCCACCTATATAGTGCGAAAACTAAACATTCGAAAATTCTTGAAAAAACTATATCACTATGAGAGGTAAAAAGAGCTGCTTTGCCCATGAATCGAAAGTGCATTATTGTGGAGGTTTTTGTTAAGTATCAAGTCTTTATGGAATATTTTATTATTTATTACGATTCCCCAGTTAAGTTGAATTTCTTCGTAAGTTTGTTTGTTTGTTTTTGAATTTCGCGCAAAGCTACACGAGGGCTATCTGCGTCCCTAATTTACCAGTGTAAGATTAGAGGGAAACTCTTGGGCTACTCTTTTACCAACGAATAGTGGGATTGACCGTCACTTATAACGCCCCCACGGCTGAAAGGGCGAGCATGTTTGGTGGGATGGGAATTCGAACCCACGACCCTCAGATTGAGAGTCGAGCGCCTTATCCACCTGGCCATGCCGGGTCAATTTCTTCGTAAGTATGAAGTCTACGTAGAAAATGTTGTTCAATCTGAAGTTTTTTTAATAAAGGCAGTTTTGCTGTAAAACAGAGTCTAGTTTTATAAGAATTCATACAGAATGTACGTAAAATGCCTTTGTATCGTGCTAATTGATTGGTTTATTTGTTCTCCAGTAGGTGACGTCTCCTCTGCCGTAGAGATATTTCATTACTGCAGGTAGACTCTAAATTGAACTGGTTAGCACTGAAATAACGTTAGCTGGCCGATTATGACGTCGACTGAAAGTGACAGCCGATCAGCGCTGTCAGAGAATAGATATCACGAGGTCCTTTAAATGCGCCCAATCTATTTACTTCTCACGCAATTTCAAATTCAGTCAAGTTATCAACTACAGAACACTCGCCTTAGTTCTTGATCGAATCTGTTGTTATTGAGGGTCTTCCTGCCTAATACTTGTCGGGTAATCGGTTTTACCTGAAGAAATACACTCCTATCAAAGTTTTTTTGTTTTTTTTTAAGATATACGTTCGTGATATCCTGAAGTTTTAACAAACAAGAGACTAAAATTTTAGGGTTCGCAACATCTGTGTTTATTTTTTAAAAAGTTTATTTTATTTCACTCTGTAATTTGAAAAAAAAAATCGTTTGAATAAATATCTTAAGATTTGATGTATTAATTAAGTAAATTAAGATAGCATCCACATACTGTCTTGGGGAACTTTTTTCAAAATTCATTCTAGTAAATGGAACACTGTAATGTTCGTACAAACTGTTTTATAATTTGTAGAACAGAAAACATCGTTCAAAGACTTTGCTTGTTTGTTTTCTGTTTTGTTTTAGCCATTAAGCTTATATCAAATAGTCTTGTTTGTTTGTTTTTAGACAATAAGCTTACATCAGATAGTCTTGTTTGGTTTTTGTTTGATTTTTGACATTAAGCTTATATTAAATAATCTTGTTTATTTTCTGTTCTGTTTTAGACAGTAAGCTTACATCAGATAGTCTTGTTTGTTTTCTGTTTTGTTTTAGACAGTAAGCTTACATCAAATAGTCTTGTTGTTTTTTGTTTTTAGACAGTAACCTTACATCAAATAGTCTTGTTTGATTTTTAGACAGTAACCTTACATCAAATAATTTTGTTTGTTTTGTTTTATTTTTAAACAGTAAGCTTACATCAGATAGTCTTATTTGTTTTTTGTTTTGTTTTTGACATTAAGCTTACATCAAATAATCTTGTTTGTTTTCTGTTTTGTTTTTAGACAGTAACCTTACATCAAATAGTCTTGTTTGTTTTTGTTTTTAGACAGTAAGCTTACATCAAATAATCTTGTTTGTTTTTAGATAGTAAGCTTGCATCAAGTAGTCTCTCCAGCCCTGATCTGACCCCAGAAAACGAAATTCCCATAATGACCATTGGACCCGGTGACATCAGGAGAGGAGCTGGACAAGTGTTTTCCACAAAAATGAAACTAGATCGAGGCAAGGTCGCATTTTTTTCATTTCGCATTATAATCTATAACCTTAGTTTTAATTCAAAATTAGCATAATAACGATGATAAATTTGTATGTAATATACTGTATATATTTGTAACGTAGAAAATATTATGAAACTAATTTTGTCATTACAGTCAAATTAGTTGTTTCGGATATTCGAGCAAAGCTCCAGAAGAATTATTTACCCATTAGCTGTCCCTAATTTTGAACTCACAATCTGAGGGTCGCGAATTCGAATCCCCGTCACACCAAACATGCTGGCCCTTTCAGCTGTGAGGGCGTTATTATGTGACGGTCAATCCCGCTATTCGTTGGTAAAAGAGTGGCCCAAGAGTTAGCGGTGATGACTAGCTGCCTTCCTTCTAGTCTTACACTGCTAAATTAGGACGGCTAGCGCAGATAACCCTCGTGTAGCTTTGCGCGAACTTCAAACAAACACTGAAACCCAGGCAATAAGTTATCTGTAAAAGCAGACATTGTCAAAAATAAATTAAAAAATATTAAAAACTATTTAATCCTACTCTAGTCTGCAAGCTTTCATGAGCCCATTTAGCAGTGCGTGGTCGAATATTTACTAAGCTCTTTGGAGAAATCAAAACGTACAATATTTCACTGGTAATGTCTCAGGTGAGTGAAAAGTATGTCTGAAAATGGAGTTGTTTTGATTAAGCCTGGTTCTCTACCTTTTACAAAAATACACACGTGGATTTTACTGGCTGCCTTTTTTAATGCAATTTTATCCGACCGCGTTTCGCGTCATACAGAATGGGGTTTTTATTCTTACAGAAACAGTAGTTTTATTGGGAGCAGAGTTTGACATTCGAATTAATTTTGCTGCAGTTTACTATTATGAGTTTCTTCTACAACATTCAAGCTCTTAAAAACTCAACGTATATTGAAGATACAACTTTGGTATAATTTTTCATTACCAGTAGGCTAAAATGTTGTTTGGATGGTATTTTAGTCATTAAAAGAACTGTACGTTGCACTCTAGGTAGCCATAAATTTTAATACATCGTCGTCTAAGCGATTTTCATAACACTTTTTACGTTTAAACTCCCTTTCGTAGATGAGGGTAAAAAAGTACACACTCGACGTCTGTGTATTCATTGTCAACTTCTTGTTGATAATTTTGCTAAATGACAGATTATACTTGATCACGTACATTTGAGAGTATTAGTAAACATCATTTAAACTATATACAACAATCTGTTACCAACTCTTATCTGTTTTTGTTTTTAGTTCTGTTCTTGTGGTTATTCACTTCTTTCCTTGCCTTTGTCGATTAAGTTCGTTTGGCAGTTACCGAATAAAACTCTAAAAGGACTCTTATTGTAAAGAACAGATTAACTATACAAGTTTCAATTAGTTAAAGATTAGAGACTTAAAACGTTGCCTCATGTGGTTAAATAATAACCAAATAATAAAATTAGATCTCCATGGTAGTTCTAATAAGGCATTACTTACACAAAATAGATTTAATTATTACATAATGTTCCTAGATTCATGACTTAAGACCCAACTGAAATGTATTAAAAATGTAAATTAAATTAATTTCTCCACTTTAAAACACTGCTCATGAGACATACATTAACTCTCCAACGGTCCACCCTTACATGGCCTTAATGACAAGTCACGTGACTGATTAATGAATTAATACAATTTGCCATATAAACTTAGGTTTACGTGAACAAAACATTTGAATCGTGGACTGTTGCCTTTATATCACTTTCAAGGTCATAACAGATAGATTAAAATTGCTTGAAATTATGGTAAGAGAATAAACATGTCCTTATTTTAAAAAAAGAAATAATATAATATTAAATTTGTTTGTTGCCCAGTAAGATCGAGTATCATGATTAAAATTCCTTTCACAGAACTAATTTTTTTAAAGAGAAGAGCCATTGCCCCAAAAATAGATCAACATCGCTCACATTTTTAAAAATTTTGAAGTAGTTTTGTCAAACTATTTTCCTGTGGAGTTCACTAGAAATTTTGATTTAAAAGCTCATGTTGCAGTGGGAAATGGAGTAGAAAAAAAATGTTAGGTAACACTTGAAATAAGAAAACTTCAAGAAGTCAATGAGCACAACATATGAGCAAACTTTTACGGGAACTATTTTTACAATATCAAAATTAGAAATCGACACAATAAGAAAAATTACAACAGCTAGCTTTAAGGGCATAATTCTAGACCACTCTAAAGCTTTGAAAGAGATGTACACAAAAAGGAATCAAACCAAATTTTTAGTTGAACGTAGGAGTTTCATATGATGCCAGATGGTGCTTTTAATATACCAAGTCACTGAAAGTCTAAAAATTTGCGAATTCCTTACACTTGCTTTCAAGTTTGTTTTTATTTCAGTCGAAACATTAGGTGAAATCAAATTGGGATTTCTATTGACTAAAAGCCAGTTAGAAATAGAAGTTTTCTGTGCTCGCCAACTTCCAGCATCTTCTTTAGGCCAGCCACCAGGTAAATATGAAACGTTAACTGATTTTTTAACCGTAAAATATATTTTTAAGTTGAAAATTACGCCGAGTAACATTATAACTGCATGCATAATTTAAATCAATGATCGATGTTGATTACAAATCCACTGTTACTTGGCAAGAACGAAGTTTTACAGCCTATTGTCAGCCAATCTTCATATTTTATATATTTGTTGTGTCTGTAATAAAACTGCGTTTACAAACTCACTGCGATGAATTTAAATTCGATGACGAGGAACCCACTTTGAGACTAATAATGGCTGGAGACGGCTTAAATGGGTAATGAAGAAAAACTTTAATATAAGTTTAACATGAC